TTTAATGGTGGTCTAAGGTTATGATAAGCTTGTAATTTTGAAGCTAGGATGAAAGATGGTAGGGTTATTGATGGAATCATTTTGAAATAACTAAAGCTTTTAAAGTGTGAGGTGTGCTTGAATTAAAAGTTTATAAGGTGGCATGTCGTGTCGGACACCGACACAACACGACACTCATGGGAAACTTCTTGACCTTTGCCAGAAACACCTCCAAACATGTTCTACTATTTTTTAAAATATTTTAGACAACATGCTTTAAGCACTTGGGGAACATGTGCATATCGCTTAGACACATGAAATACATTACAAGTTTTGAATAAAATAACTTGGAATTCAATGATAAAAGACTAACAATGCATTAGCAATCTTTAATTTAGTTTAATGCTTAATTTAAAATTTACTACTAAAGCTTTATCTCCATTGATTTTGATAGGAAAAGAATATTTAGAAAATATATATATATAGAGAGAGGTAACAGAAATAAAAAGAAACGAAGCTAAAAGAAAGGAACGAACAAAAGAGGCAAAGAGTTTATATGTCGGTAAGTATACTTTGTCAAAAAGTACATGGATGCCGGTAAATATATTTTTGTGCAATCGTATATGTCAGTATTTTCCTATCTAGTGACCTAAAAAATGCTTACTTTCCCTTTCATGGTATAAAAAATAGCCCACCCTATGGCCTAAAAAATTCATTTCCTTGGCAAGTGCCTCAAAAAAAAATAGTCCGGGGATAATGCACGTGTTTGGTTTTCCAAGAGACCTAAAAATTCAGCACATAAAAAACAACACTGGATATACACAATTTTAAATTTTACTAACTATTTTAGGCTATTGTTGTGAAAGTCCGAAACTTAGGCAAAGCCTTAGACAACTCAATAAAATATTGCAAGTTATTAAATAAAGCATTTTGTCTGGGCTTGAGATAAAATGTTAAACAAAAGTCTGGATGCCTTTTTGACTGTACTAAATTTGCAATTTTCTCTTCACAAATAAATGGCAAGTTCCTGAGTCATACTAACGTATAAATTGGTTATTAACTTCATTTTAATTTCTCAATGCAATATGGTCGAAGGAGTCACGCTAAGCTTTATAACAGTGGTCTTTGAAGGCTATAAAATTAGCCTAGATAAAAATAAATTAAAATTTGAGCATGAACTATGGTTGAATTGATTTCAGTCTGGACTTTTTTTTTTACCGACTTGAATGTGCAGCCAACCCATTGTGTTCTCTTATAACTGAATAGAATTTGAGGTTAGATAAAAAAGTTAGGTCAGTTGCATATATTGTTATCTCTTACACAGCACAGGTGCATACCTTTTTTAATGCTTATTTTTCTCAGATTTTACTTTTCTTTCTTTGGTTAATTTAGTGACTTATTTCCTCTTTCTTTGGTTAATTTAATGACTTCTTTCCTCTTTCTTTGTAGTCTGATAAAATAAATCTGGACATCCAAAGGGTTGTTGGGTATCGCCAATGGTGTAATAAACTTTGGAATGCTGTGCGATTTGCCATGAGCAAACTTGGAGATAATTACACCCCTCCAACAAATGTGGTTCCAGATATCATGCCATTTAACTGCCAGTGGATTCTCTCCGTGTTGAACAAGGCCATATCAAAAACTGTGACATCACTGGACTCGTATGAATTTTCTGATGCTGCTACTGTAGTATATTCATGGTGGCAGTTCCAGTTGTGTGATGTGTTTATTGAAGCCGTCAAGCCCTACTTTGCCAGTGATGCTCAAGCATTTGCTTCTGAAAGGAGTTATGCACAAGACACCTTGTCGGTGTGTCTGGAATAACTAATTGGATGATGGGTTCTATTGCTGTTTGTTTTGGTTGTTTATCATTTATAATGGTAATAAGCTGTCTTAATACTGGAAAGTAACATCAATTAATGCTGCTCCTCAACCTTTGTTTTTGTAAGATAAGACGGTCTTGTTTTTGCATGAAAACTAATGATTGGCTTGTAGAGTCTAAATTGACAGTGGTATGGTTCATTGTTTTCCGTAGGGATAGAGAAAGGCATCCAATAGGGATATTTTTCAGGGTAGGTTGGCCATCATAATATTGATCCTTGTAATCTGATTCCATTTATTTATATTTTCCTTTTCAGAATATGGAAGCGGAGAAGTAGGTTAAATTTTTCCAAGGTTGTGTTGGTTCTGCATTTGCTGAACGAGATCATTCAATAATGGAGGTTACTACTTTTTCCCCTCTTAAAGTTTCTTTGTTCTGCTTGGTGCACAGGAGAAGGTTGGGGTTTAATGCCAACAAAAAAAAAAATTTACATATTTAGCAAAGAAAGCACATTTATTTGATGGTATACACCCGGTAAACTTAGAACAGCAGAAGAACACAACTGACAATCCATCAACTAACAACAGTAGCTGAAATGGTGAAGGTGATTGCTCAAATGAATATGATTTTTTTTTATTGGAGTTTTCCCTGGTTATGGTTAAGGAATTTTGTTTTCTATTATTATTTTTAAGGAAAACTCGTCAGATGTATTCATTCATATCATATCTAATAGGTAGGGTAGCAGAATGGATGAATATGCTTTCCCTTGATGTCTTGGGAAAGAGAACGGAAAGGAGGCACAAATGTTATGCCACCTTATTTATGTGAACTGCAAATTTATATTTTTTTTTGGTACACGTTAATCTTTTGTATGTGATTACTTAGATTAGGGGCCTTGATCATCAGTGCTGATTGAATGTCTGCTCAAGCTGCTCATCTACAACCCAAAGTTTAATCTAAAGCTAAGACCATCAGAATCATTCATGTTTTAATTAATCTGTGGTATTATTCGTTAAAATAAACTTTACCAACTTTATTAAAAAATCATATATAAAAGTGAACTGAATCAATGGAGCTTTGATAGTTAACTATGCCTGTATTTGTTATGGTTGTTAGCTTATTAATCATCGTGTACTGAAATTTGCAGGTACAGCAACAGGTACAGTTTTATTATGCCAGGTAGTTGTCTCAATACGATGTACATGTTTATAGGATTTAATTGATTTTTGCAAATATACGGGTTTGCAATCCAGTGTTGTTGCCACTATCATGTTTCTCTGATAAATTTTTCAATTCTGTTTCTTTATTAGGTGCCTTACATCACTACTGCTTTGATGGATGCGAAGCGTGGCACGGAAGGGCGCAAGGATTTTTTGATTGGCTATCAAGGCAACTTAGTGGATTAAACAATTTTCTTGATGCTGTAAATCTGAATTATGTATTGTTTCAATTTGTTATGCAAGATGGATGTGACTTGTGAATGAAAACTTAGAATAGTTGTATTGTCTCGAATGTTAATGAATTATGTATTGTGTCGAATGTTAATGATTCAGTTAATTTGAATGATGCTTTAAAATTATAGGTTTATTATGGATTGAATGAATTATTAGGAATTACAGGTGTATTGTTTTCTTTCTTGCTTTGGCGACCAATTTATTAGTCGCGACAAATAAATTATTTTTTTTTGCAAAAAATGACAATTGCCGACCAAGAGTTTTGGTCGCAAAAAATATATCTATTGCCGACCAAAACAGTTCTTAGTCGTGGAAACTCACTTTTGCCGACCAAAAGTTTTGGTCGCGAAAAGTAACAAATAGCGACCAAATTTTTTGGTCGTAGAAACTATTATTTAGCGACGAAGAAGTTTTGGTCGTGGAATGTAATTTTTGCCGACCAATTTTGTTGGTCGTTGAAAGTAATTTTTGCCGACCAAATTAGCTTTTTGGTCGGGAAAATATCACTTTTCGCGACCAAAGTGTTTTGGCGACAAAATAAATTAGTCGCGGTAATTAAATATTTAGCGACCAAAAATTTAGTCGCGAAATCTAACTTTTGCCGACCAACTACAATTTTGGTCGCGAATTACTTTTGTCGACCCTCAATTGGCGACCAAAGTAGCGACCAAAAAAATTGGTCGCGGATAACTTTTGCCGACCAAAAATTGACTTTTAGCGACCAATTTTTTTGTTGCCAAAAGTGTTAATTCTTGTAGTGAGGTTAGCTATGATACTTTGTGCAGCGAATTACTTTTGCCGACCCTCAATTGGCGACCAAAGTAGCGACCAAAAAAATTGGTCGCGGATAACTTTTGCCGACCAAAAATTGACTTTTAGCGACCAATTTTTTTGTTGCCAAAAGTGTTAATTCTTGTAGTGAAACCCAACGTGTTATATCATGTATTTCTTAACTGACATAATTTTCGGGTTTAAACTAAGAAAGTAATTGATGAATAAGAAAAATATGGTGAAATGAATCATAGAAAATTATTATTTGCATTACTCATGACTGTGTGTGAGAACCAGGGGATATGGATGGTTCATGCAATTTTTAAGGGTGTTCATGGACCTTTTTGGTTCGGTTCTAAGGTAAATCAATAATTGAATTAGTCTCTACGGTTGTAGAAATGACCTGGGTATCATTTTGACCAGAACATCATAATAATTATAGCTGCAATACCAGTTTTAGAACAATAACCAGCATTTAAAGGAAATTACTGCTGCAAGTGCAACTAAATGCTGAGTTTTTCCCTTTTCTTATAATATATATGAGATGATGTATTTTGTTAAAGCATCCAATTCAAAATTAATTGGCCATCAAGTTTTGGTGACTTAGATTGACGATATGAGATTAACTCCATCTTGGCCACCAAGCTTGGGTGACTTAGATTGATGATGTGAGATAGTCAGGATAGACTAGATGAGAGAAACAAACTCAGGAAGAGATTCAGATACTTATACCACAAGAGGTGAGAGGCTACCAAGACCTAGCTCTAATACTATGTTAAAGCATTCAATTCAAAATCAGTTAATTATGAATGAAGAGATCATTACACTATATTAATCAAGTTTAGGCGACTTAGATTGATGATAATACTTTGGCCATCCATGTATGGACTATCATGACATGATGAGATATGGAATTGTACTGAAAACTTGAGCTGTTGTTGGTGGATTTGTCAAAGACATCTTATGACTCCTTTATGCATGCAACAACTGGATTTGATAGAGAAGTTATTTGGATGGTACTCTGCCAACCATTTGATTGCTGATGGTTTGACGAATGCACAATACTATCTTGACGTAGGTCCACCAATGAGGAGCCTAACTAAAAGGTATTTTTGTTATAAAAGTTTAAATTGAAAAAAATTAATAAAAGGATTAAGTGTTCCAATTTTTAATTTAAAAGAATAAATTAATACAGGATAATGTATAATACAATTTATCCATAATTTTATGCAATGCAAGCGTGTTCAAAGTTTTCCATCAAGATAATGTTACAATACACACTCCTAAAAATTGTAGGTATTATACGCAGGTTATGACACTTTATAGTATTGATACTATAAAGTGTCATAATTAAATCATGTTTTATCATATTTTAATGGATCATAAGTGTAAATCAAAATACAAAACAAACAGCAGAATAAAATGTTTAGATCATACCTCATTTGGTCTAAAACCTCGTGGATAAATCACGTGCTTCCAGAATCTAATCAATCAATCCCAGCAGTGGGGTGATATTACAATGGTGAATATCACCCACACAAACCACAGTGGAAATGGCTTTGATCGTTGTTTCTTGGGAGAGAGTCAGTTTATGGGTAGAAACAAAACATACGTTGTTTCTCTCTTGGTTACCCATAACCATATATCAGATATATATTATATTTATCTCATTTATCCATTGGTTAAATGAGATAATATCTGATATCTATATCATCTATCCATATCATGATATGATAGATATATATCCTGAGTGGCTCATCCAAATAGGTTTGAATTCAAATTCAAAACCCATTTGGATGAGGTTCAAAAGGTTCTAAGGGTCATGCCACATGGGCGCCCAATTTCTAACAATAAGCAAACACTTTTTAGTCATAATCAAAGACTTTTTAATCATAACTAAAATTACAATTACAATAAACCATAATCAAGAATAAAACCACAAAGTGTCGTAAGGATTATAACAGAAAATCACTTGAGGCATATAATCAAAGACCTCAACGAAAACAATAAGTCACCAAGTCACAACTAATACCACAATAGATCAAAATTAAAAATCACAAAAGATTACAACTAGAACATACGGTAAATAGTTTTTGGATTTCCTTTTAATCTCATTTTATTCACATATACACACTTATTAATGTGTTTGGAAATTGACTTTTTTACTATTTTTTAAACTTTTATATAGAGATATGCAGAAAAATAAAAAGAATAATTTAGCAATTTATAATAATTTTTTAACTTTGTAACTAATAATCTGAGTTCCCAAACAGAATAAATATATTGGAATTTTTCCAGAGAAAATTGATGCATCTCAAAGTCTAACAAATCAAAGTCGTTGCACGTGTTATAGCCATTTGACGAGGGTGAACAATAAATCTAACGACCCATAACTAACTATACAATAAATGATTTTTATTTTTATTCAAAATAAACATAAATATATTTAATATTTTCTCTAAAATTAAAACAGCAAATTATCCTATTAAAGAAGAGAAGATGGGAAGGAAATATATTCTATGTTCTTCCGAAGACAGTGGAATTAGGCAATTATTGAGGAAAATTTATCATTATTGTCAATGTGCCACATTTTAGCTGCATATTTTTTGGCATGATGGTATTTAAGATACACATGATACTTGCTATAAAATGTGGGTTACATATGATACATATGCAGTTATCATGCAATACATATACAGTTGTAATGGTGGTTGTGGTTTCAGAAATACCATTAACTTGACATTTTTTAAATGCATTACTGTTTGTTGGCTTCCCCAACTATTTTACTGCAACAACAGTGAAGGATTCACTGAGAGAGCTTTACTAATCAAGTGCTGTTTCCATCTGTAAAATGACTTGAGGCTAGTGTTTATTCTGTAGCTGTTGTATATAGTTAAACAATTATTTTGCTTTGTGAGTAGCAATATCTAAACTAACATTTTTTTTTGTGTGCACGTTTTTTTCGGTGTGCATCTGTACTTTTCAGTTAAATGCTCCCACTGCTGCTGCTCCTGTAGAGCCTTCACTAACGGATTCACTGGATTATCAACCAGTTGTGCCGGGAATTAGTGACCACCGAACAGGTGAGCACTCCTCGTGGTTTTGCATCAACTGCCTTTTGCATGTGGTTTGTTTGGGTATCAAACAATAGCTTTGCTGTTTACACAGTCTGTTAGCTTGATATGCATTGTTGGGTCAATTTTCTAACAGCTTAAACTTTTGGGACTAGTGTTGATTGCTGTTTTAACATAGTATTGAAGTTTTGATTCCAAGAAGTCCGGGTTCAAGTCTTGCCACCCCTGTTATCTTTGTCATTGTGCCTGGGCTCAAGTCTTGTCACCTTTGTTATCTCTGTCATTGTGCACTATGTTCTGCCTGTGTTTGTGCATTTTGTTCACTTGATCTGTTTGCCAATCCAAGTGCGAGATGGGTTGCATGTGAGGGAGGATGTTAGCCTGATATATATTGTTGGGTCCATTTCCTAACAACTTAAAGCTTTTGGGACTAGTAGTGATCTAATAGTGTGTTAGCTTCAATTTAAACTAGCCAATTTATGGTCTTGCTCATTCTTTTAGCTCTTGTTTTGCTGTATGTTAAATAATTTACATCAAGAATGACATTTCAGGTTTCTTTACTAATAAAAAGTTGTGGGAATATTTTCAGGACAATTCACATCATGTCCAAAGAAGAATAAACTAAGAATTGGTGAGTCTTCAGCCTTTTTCACTTATGTCAAATCAAGCATGCCCAAAAGCAATACCCAAGGGGTTGCCCCTGATGATGAAATTGCTACTCGAGATTTGAGCACTGAAATCAAACTTAATGCACGGGTTGGACAAGCGGGCAATGATACCCAAGATTGCGAGAATGAAGAGGCACAGGAAAGCCATTTTCAAGGAGATGACTTTCCAGGCAGTAGCAGTAACCCTGATTCTCTTTGTATGGAGAGATCTTCCACTCCCCCTGTGTTAATGGAATTTCCACAACAGAACAACTCAAAGATGGAAGAGTTTGCTCAGTTGCATATGCATCTGAACAATGAGTTTCACGGAGATGTATCGGGATTTCATGCGCATACTGCTTATCCATATTATATTTCAGGCGTAATGAATCAAGTTATGATGTCATCGGCACAAATGCATCAAAATAATCTTCAAGATCTGCCAAACCATATGTTGCCTCAGTATGGTCATATTCCGCCGCATTGTCGTCCTCATGTTCAAGGTATGGCATCATTTCCCTATTACCACCCAGTTAGCATATACACACAACCGGGTCAAATGCCTGCAACCCATCAATGGCCTTCACATGGAAGTCCATCGGCCAATGAAGGAAAAATAAGTAAAGTTGATAGGAGAGAGGCAGCCTTGATGAAGTTTAGGCAGAAGAGGAAAGAACGTTGTTTTGACAAGAAGGTTAGGTATGTTAACCGGAAAAGGCTTGCCGAAAGGAGACCTCGTGTACGGGGACAGTTTGTAAGGAAGATGAATGGTATAAATGTGGATCTTAATGGGCAGCCTGCTTCTACTGATTTTGACGAGGACGAAGAAGAGGATGATGAGGAAGAGCAATGTAGCTAGGGATTCTTTTGTCATTTCTCACTCTTTTTTATATTTTTAA